TCTTTTTAAAAAGAGTAAAAACTCAAACCTTTCTTTAATACCTCATTCCTCACAGCCTTTGAAGGATAAGGTGGGAGAGCAAAAGAGAATCTACATCTCCCTTGTGGGTTGCTCAGAGAAAAAAATTATCTAATAAATTATCTAATAAATGATATCATTCCCTACAAATCTAGTGTACACAGCATCTGGTGTACAGCAAGCACATAAAGGTTAGCATTATTGATCAATGATTCTCTCTCATAGATGCTTCTAACTCTCTGTCCCTCTCTCTTCCTCACTGTAAAAAAAAAAAAATCAATAAAATATATATTTTTTTAAAAAAGAAAGAAAGAAAGAAGCCGAAACCGGTTTAGCTCAGTGGATAGAGCATCGGCCTGTGGACTGAAAGGTCCTGGGTTCGATTCCGGTCAAGGGCATCTACCGTGGTTGCGGGCAGATCCCCAGTAGGGGGTGTGCAAGAGGCAGCTGATCAATGATTTTCTCTCATTGATGTTTCTAACTCTCTGTCCTTCTCTCTTCCTCTCTGTAAAAAATCAATAAAATATATATTTTTTAAAAAGTTAGCTATTATGAGTGTAAATTTTATTTCAGTGCTTTTTGCCAGAGTAAAATCTCTCCAGAGGAGATTTTAGGCAACAATAGGGATCCAAATGTAAGATAAATTTGCATAACTCACTTGAAGAGAAGGAAAGGGTCTTCAATCTAGCCTGTTGCCATTGATTGACTAGATACCATCCTCCCCAGCCTGTTAGCTGGCAAATTTTAATGACTTCACTGTCTTAATATTATTTTTTCATCAATGTGCCTGCGTGTGAAAAGTTGACACATTTTAAGCGTTTGAAAAACACCCTGCACGCACACACACACACACACACACACAACTACCCCACCTGCCCATGTATGGCCCCAAAAGCCCCACCTTGGCCCACACCAGTCCAGAGTTCCTGGTGACATTTGCTTTATTGAATTTTTTTTCAATTTATTTATTTATTTATACATATTTTATTGATTTTTTTTGCCCCCCTCCCTCCTTTACATCCCCTTCCTCCCCAGAGTTTTATGTCCATTGGTTGTACTTATATGCATGTATACAAGTCCTTCGGTTGATCTATTATCTCCCCCAGATCCTCCTCTTCTCCCCGCTGTAATTTGACAATCTGCTTGTTGCTTTACTGTCTCTATATCTATCTTTTGGTTCATCAGTTTATAATGATCTTTATTATCCACAAATGAGTGGGGTTATGTGGTGTTTCTCTTTCATTGATTGGCTTATTTCACTCAGCATGATGTTCTCCAATTCCATCCAGGTTGCTGCAAATGATGAGAATTCCTTCCTTTTTATGGCAGCATAGTATTCCATTGTGTAGATGTACCATAGTTTTTGGATCCAATCATCTGCTGACGGGCACCTAGGCTGTTTCCAAATTCTGGCTATTGTAGATTGTGCTGCTATGAACATAGGGGTGCATATCCTTTCTGATTGGTGTTTGTAGTTTCTTGGGATATATTCCTAGGAGTGGGATTACTGGGTCAAATGGGAGTTCCATTTTCAGTTTTTTGAGGAAACTCCACACTGTTCTCCACAGTGGTTGCACCAGTCTCATTCCCAACAGCAGTGCACAATGGTTCCTTTGCTTTACTGAATTATTTACAATGAACAGATGCCAATTTTTATTTCAGTGTGATTTTTTCTTAAAAAGCAATATAGCAAGAAAACATAGCAGTGACCTATTTATTCAACAAATATGTACTAAAGAACTCAATGCCAGCTTGCCATGTTTACTGGTAACTAGGTTTTTGGTTTTTAAACTTGTTAATCTTTTCTCCTAGGTTTTCCTGCAATTATAGTACGCTACCACTAGGTGGCAGTAGACATGGCAGTATTTGGGGAGGTGCTTTGCTTGTTTTCACCAAGATCGCAGATGAGACTTTGGATTCCAAGAGAGTAAATTCTCATTGACAACTTTTGTTTTGTTTTGTTAATGATGACTATAGTGTATATGTTTTAAATACCACAAAATATTATTTAAAACAGTTCATATTTATTTAGTTTTAATCTACCTTTTACTTTGGCACTCTTCATTCTTACTCTATTCACTCTTTTCGCCCGGGATAGTTTTCCTTCTGCCTGGTGAACTTTGAATGTTCCCTGTGAGTGTGGGTGAGCTGGTGAGAAATCCTGATACCCCTTCCTGTTCCCTTCTGAAGGGTCTTCTTGCCTAGTGCTTGTTGCTCTACTGAACACAAGGGTGTCTTTTCTGCTGGCTACTTTTACATTTCCTCTTGAACTTCATTTTTCACCATTTGGCAGGGAGCACTCAGGACTTCTCAGAACTCCTGGATCTGTGGATTGGTGCCTTTTGGAAATCCTCAGCCATTATTTCTTCAAGTATCACTTCTGCTTTATTCCCTCTTTTCCTCCTAAGACCGGAATCTCACACGTGTTACACTTTTACAGTCTCCCATTTCTCTAATGCTCTTACTCTGTATTCTCCATCCCATGTCCTTCCCATGCTTCAGTGCGTGTATTCCCGACAAAGCTAAATTCTAGCTCATGAATGCTCTTTTCTGCTCCTACAGGTGCCTCTTATTTCTGAGCGGAGCGCCTGGCGGGATGACCCTGCAGCCCGTGGAGGAAAGAGCAGAGGGCTCTGATCCTAGAGGCTGGGTACCAGTCCTGGCCACTGTGTCCCAGCTTGTGCCCTGAAGGGACCTCTGTAAGGGAGTGTTTCTTCCTCTAAAAAACTGTCTCAGTGCCCATCTCCTTGGGCATGGGATGTGCAGATGAGGGCTTCAGGGTGAAGAGTAGGGGAGGAACTGCTATGCAAATGGAACTGTCAGCATCTATCTTGGTGGGGTCAGAAGCTTTCCCTCATTCTGAGCCACAAATAGCAAAACACACACACACACACACAGACACACGTTCACACCACACCTTTGCAGGTGCAGTCCTCCACACACCCACACAGGGGCCTGAGTGCATCTCTTGAGTCAGAGCCACTTGCACTACCCCAGGAGGCCACCCACACAAACCTCAGCCACAACATAGTTTGCCCTAGAGGACATGGTCCTGATTTGAGAACGACACAGGCTTCTCCAGGCGATTTTCTGGGGGCCAAAGACTTTCATCACATGATATATTTGAGTTGTGAACCCTGTATAACTCCCCACGGGTCAAGGAGACCAAGTAGGGCTGCTATCAGGTGGGCATGCACAGCACCAGATGCTTGTTTACATGTTTACTCAATGACTTGTTTGGCTGAGGCCTCAGCCTAGATGTTGAGGTTTGTGCTGCACTTAGAGCATCCCAAATTAACCCGGCTTCAGCCATTTTACCACCCATAGATCTTTAGATGTTATTTCACACCCAAATGTGCAGTTTCAGTTACTGTTTCCCCAGAACATTGAATGAAAGAACACTTTTACTTTATAACTAGAGTTCCCGTGCACAAAATTTGCAAACGGTATAAGTGTGTGTGTGTGTGTGTGTGTGTGTGTGTGTGTGTGTGAATGTGTGTGTGTGTGAGTGTGAGTGTGTGTGTGTGTGTGTGTGTGTGTGTATGTGTGTGTATGTCCCTCAGCCTATACCCGCTCCAATCTGGAACCTCTGGAGGTTTGCCCAACTTCCCATTCAGGCCCGATCCTGCCATGGATGCCCCGCTGCCTGTGTGATCTGGCCTAAACGGGCAGTGAAACAGTCCTCTCACAATACACAGAGGCTGATTCCCAACCGCTAATCTGCTTGCTTGCCCGATTGCTTCCAGCCAGTTTGATCACCCCCTAACGACTCCCCTGCCAGCCTGAGCACCCCCTGAACACTCCCCTGCCAGCCTGATCGTTACCTACCTGCTACCTGGCTGGCCTGATTGCCTCTTACTGCCCTTCCCTTCCAGCCTCTTTGGCCCCTATTGCCCTTCCCTACAGGCCTGGTTCCCCCAACTAACATCCTCTGCCCTCCACTATAGAACTGATTGCACCAAACTGCCCTCCCCTGCAGGCCTGGGTAACCCCCAACTATCCTCCCCTGCTTGACTGGTACCCCCCTCCCTCCAACTCTGCACCCCTTCTTGGCTGGTACCCATTCCAACTTCCCTCCCTTGCAGGCCTTGTCACTCCTAACTATCCTCCCCTGCAGTCCTGATTGTCCCCAAGTCCCCTCCCCTGCCAATCTGGGTTTCCTGGCTGCCCTGCAAGCCCTCTTGTGGCAGCCATCTTGTGTCCAAATGGCAATGGCCATCTTTGACCACATGGGGGCAGCCAACTTGTGTGTTGGAGTGACATCCAATGTGTATATTACCCTTTAATTAGATAGGATATGTGTTTCTTAATTTCAGTGAGGAAGAGAAAGGGAGAGAGAGAGAAACATCAATAATGACAGAGACTCATTGATTGGCTGCCTTCTGCATGCCCCGTTGGGGACTGAGCCTGAAACCCAGACATGTGCCTTGAATGAAATCAGACCCAGACCCTTTATCCACAGGCCTATGTTCTATCTGCTGAGCCCAACCAGCTAAGGCACAATCACTTTTGATTTGTGACCACTCAAGTCTCAGCTTGGCTTGCCTAGTGGTGACCTAATGGTTCCACAGAAACTGCTTAAATGCTTTCACCAACAGAAATGTCCAAAGCTGTAGAGGATTTTGATCACTTTATTTGGGTCAAATTACAATCTCAAATGCTTCAGCAAATAACAGTTTTGTAGTTTCTTTATTTCCCTTTCTAAAGAAACACATTTTATGTCATGCTAATTTAACCAGTGGAGAAAAAACTTGTATCAAATACACAATTTCCATTACAGACTAGATGGTGAATAATTTTTAAAAAGTTGTAGGCCACAGAGTTTGCTGATATGAGTGACAGGCATGACATGATCCCTTTGAAGCACAAAAGCCCGGGATGAGATCTTGTGCTCTATCCCTGACCTTCACACTCAGTCAGTCTTTAGATGCAGGCACACCCACGCTTCTTAATCCAGAGTGCCAGACGGGAAAGCACGGAGTTCAGAATCTCAGGTGGGATTTATGCCTCACCATGTAGCTATCCAGCGTTTGCCAGAAGCTTAAGAAAAGCGGTCTGTCGGAGTGGCGTTTGTAGTAGCTGAGCTCTAACACCTTGACGTCCCACTTCTGCACGTTGGGGTCGAGAGGAACTTGATCATATTTGAGGTGGAAGGCTTTAATTTTGGCAAAGATGTCAACCGGGGATCCATCAGGCAGAAGGCCCGGCCAGCCTTTGAACTGCCAGGCAGGACCGTGCACGAAGACGGCCACCACCCGGTCCCAGTCCTGAGGCGTGAGCTTCAGGGGCTGGTCCACCACTTTGTAGGGCACCGTGAGGCTGAGCTCGGCGCCCCTCGGCTGCTGCACGCGGTCTCTTCTTCTCTGGATCAGAGTTTCACTTTGTCGTCGGCAGCCCTGCTTCTTCTTCTCCTCTGAGGGGACAAAGGTCAGGTCCTGCAGAAGGTCCTTTGCGTTGAGCATGGTTATCAAGGAGGTGGGGGCGGCAGGGATGATGATGATGGGGGTCCGAGAGCCATTCTTGTGCTGGGGGCGCGGTGTGGCTTGGGAAACGGGTCTGGGTACTGGCTGTGCCGCCCCTTCTTTCACAGACTCCAGCGTCATCCCGTGGTAGGTGCCCATCGTGTCAATTTGGAAGCCTTCCGTGTCTTCTTTGGCTTTGAATCGTTCCTGGACATACCTGTTGTAGGCAGCTGGGGGCGGCTGCTTGGTAGGCAACGTGGGAGCCGCAGGTGCTGCCTTTGGGGCGGGTCGCTGTGGAGCCTGTCGGCCCGCCTCCCTGGCTTCCACAGACCTGAGAATTGCAAAAATGTCGTCGGCAAAGGTCTTGCCCGTGCTCTGTAGGATGGTGTTCCGGGTCCTGCCCACTCTCTCTCTGCTGACAATGTCCCGGGTCACATCCGCCTCCGCGTCCACAAAGCTCCTGCCTTTGCCGGCGGCCAAGGGGCCACCTAGGTCCGTCTTGATGGTGGATCTTTTCTTCGCCATGATTTTGACCTTGATGGCAGCAATTTTCTCCACGGACATGGTGTCAGACAGCGGCCTGAGCACGTCAGGCCGCACAGTGCGTTCCCTGGGGCCCTGCAGGCGGGCGGCCCACCTCTCTTTGTCCAGGCGCAGGCGCTCCTCATCCTCGATGCGGGGCCTCTTGGCTGCTGGGGACACGGGGTCTGCAGCTCGCTTCCCTGGGCTGGATCCAGGCTGCAGCCCGAGCTGGGCAGGGGCGCTGCGGTCGATACTTGCAGTCGTGGATGCTTCGCCACTGAGATAGGCCAGCAGGTCTTTTCGGTCGGGCCTTCTCACCGCGGGGATATTCTGGTTGACTGCGAGGCGGACATACACGGGATGGGAAAGGTGCGCGTTGTTCAGGAGAAATAAGAGACACTCCAGCGTGTAGTGCTCCCTGGGTCGGCCTTGCGTTCCTGTCCCCCACACCACATAGTTGGTCTTCACGGTCTTGGGCCAGGAGAACTCGCGCCCAAAGATGACTTTGTCCTCCTGCACCAGGATCTCCTTCTTCTGGATGGTGTACTGTCGCAGGACGCTGAGCACGTCTGCCATCTTCCGCCTCCTCGCAACTGGCTCCACCGGGGCCCCTGAGCACCAGGACTTCTGCCCGCCTGCCTCACTGGGCTGCTGCTGATGCTGCTGCTGCTGCCGCCTTCGCTACTGCTGCTGCCTCTGCTGTGGCCTCTGCCACTGCCTGGGCTGCTTATGCCAGGCACCCACTCTGCAGTTCCCTTTATTTGTCTGAAATTAAGGAGATTACACAAAGGCGGGAGAAATCAAGGCACAGATTGGATTATAAGATTCCCAAAAAAGTCTGAAAAAAGCAAGGATTACTCTGGCATTTCACAGGTGCGTTCACCTAGATGCACATGAAGAATAAACAGGGCTTGCTTAAGGCAAAGATAAATACTTTCCTACAGAAATAGGCCTTGGACATGACTGCCCACCAAGTCCTGCCCAGGTGGGAATTTGTGACAATTTCACCCTGTGAGGTTACTTTTCAAAGATCCCCTTTCCACTCACACTTTGAACCAATACAGCGCCAACCTCCTCTAACCTCCAAGCAAACGGTGTGTGCTGGGAGACATGCCTTCACTGTCCTGGCAGGCCGTTTACCACTTTACTGGAGCTTTCGCTCCTGTTTATCCAGAGCCTCAAGGTCAGATAGAGACAAGAAATTCTCAATCATCTTGGTCTTTGCTGAGCAGGCCCACAACTCTGAGGGGGCGTGTAGCTGTCTAGGTTTTCAGAAATATGCGGGAGCTTTTCCAAACCCCTTATGGACATGTCATTTCACAGCTATTCCTTCCAAGGTCATCTTGGTCAGCTTGTTGTTCAGCTTGGTCAGCTTGTTGTTCATGGTCAGGGTTTACACTTCAGACCATGTGATTTTTAAATGATTGTTGCTGGTTTCCATTTCTCTTGCTGCCTTTAAGTTTCTCTCTTTGTCTTTAATTTTTGCATTTTAATTATGATGTGTCTGGGCTTGGGCCTGTTTGGCTTCTTCTTGTTTGGTGTTCTCTGTACCTCCTGAACTTGTGCGACTTTTTCCTTCACCAGGTTAGGGAAGTTTTCTGCCATTATTTCTTCCAAAACTTTCTCTATGCCTTTCTCATTCATGTCCCTTCTGCTATTGTAACATTGTTATGTTTAATATGGCTCCACAGTTCCCTTAAGCTGTGCTCCTGTTTTTTTAATATTTTTTTCTTTTTGATTCTCTGATTGAGTGATATTTTCAGTCTTGTTTTCTAATTCACTTATTCCATCTTGGGCTTCTCTGAATTTGCTATGTATTCCTTCCAATGAATGTTCTGTCTTTCTTTATCACAGACTTCTTTGTTCATAGTGGTTCTATAAAAATAACCTATAATTTCTTTCTGATGAGCATTTTTACCATCATTACTCTGAACTCTGTTTCAGATAAATATCTTGTTGCTGCTTTGTTTATATTTTCTTCTGTACAGTTCTCTAGTTCTTTCATTTGGGGGTTGTTTCTTACTCTCCTTATTTTTCTTTTTCTATGGGTTTGTGACTATGTTTTAGTAGATCCTCTACAGCTCTCAATCTCAAGTGTGGGACAATGTTAAAGGCAGTTTCTGACTTATTAGATCATGCATAGATTCAAACTTCCAGAGACTGCCTCATCTACAGATTAATAGGTTTCTAACTTGAATTTCCCCCAGGCATTGTCCTCAGGTGTGATGAGATTTCTTCCAATAGGTTAAGGCAATTGCTTCTGCTTGGATGCTAATTGTTATTTGTAATCTCTTAAGTGACCTCAGGGCAAGGTGTTTTGCAATAAGTGGTGTCAACTGTTTTCCCCTCAGGCAAGGTAGAGATCTATGTGGGAAAGATGTCCTTAGCCCAGTGAAGGAATGACTCAGGTCAGGAAACTTATGGTGTCTGCCTTCTGAGCTCTATTCCCCGAGTCCCCAGTCTTTGCTTCTGCTCTCACAACTCCAGTCGACTTCACCTTCCCTGTGCAGGAGCACAGGGTGGGTGGCTCTACAGGAAATTTTGTGCATTGGGCCTTTCAGGGGGTGCCTGAATTTGCAGCTATTATTCCCTGGCAGATGGCACTTTGCTGCTTTTCACAGCCAGATGTTATGTGGCTACTCTCCTCAGATTGTTGCTCGCTGCTGGAGGCTCAGGGTGGGGATTAGATTCCACAGTTTTCAGTGGCGAACCCCCACCACTACATACACACACACACACACACACACACACACACACACACACACATCTGAGATCTCTCTCCGGAACTTAAGTTGCTGTCTGTGGGTGCCTGACCAGACCTTTTGTGCTTCCACCCCTCTTACCGTTCTCTTTTAGGTCTCACTTTTGATACTCGAGTATCAGGGTTCCCTACTGTGAGTTTTCCATTGATTATTCAGGAAATTTTTCTGTATTTTAGTTGTAATACATTTGTTGCTGGGAGCATGTCCATGCAGTGTCCACTTACTCTGCCACCATTTATTTCAAGGATATTGACCCAAAACCTTGAATAGAACCAGCAGTTCTGGGTGCAGCAACAGCAGCCTGAATGTTTTCACACACACACACCACATTCATAGGGCTTCTCCCCAGTATGGATTTTAACATGTAGAGTAAGAGATGTCTGAAGGGCTTCCCACATTCCTTAGGGTTTCTCACCAGTATGGATTCTCTGATGTGAAATCAGGGAAGAACTCTGGTAAAAACTTTTCCACATTCTTTACCTGGGAAAGATTTCTCTCCAGTATGAATTCTCATGTGTTCTGTAAGGTAGTAACCTGTTTGAAGATTTTTTTTCACAAATATTACATTCAAAGGTTTTCATTCCTATAGAATTCCTTGGATGATTCATAAAATCAAAATTATATTTACTTCACTTCTCCATATTTATAGTCTCTTTTTCTGGGAGGACTTATTGGTCCAGAATATCTTTTGTGCTCACATTAATACTTTTCTCAAATCTGTTCAATTTTCGGTGTATCTCTTTAGTGAGAATTTTACTGTGGCTCAATGAGACTTGCCCCTCACCCATTTCTTGGTTTTCCTGATGGCTGTCTAACTTATCACATTGGCAGTCTCTTCCAAATGTGGAATGCAAGGTGCTTCCTCTTGTGGATCTTTTCATTGCCACGCCATAATGTAAGTGTTCCCATGAAATGCCATTCTTTGAAGTTAACTATGTGGTTTCTGTTTCACTCTTTAAGTTTGAAGGAAATTAAAGAATTCAAATGACCCATATCTCCTGAACTTTAAAAAAATAAATGGACATAGTGAGAACTGGAGGGAAAAATAATGATATATACACTGAGTGGCTAGATTGTTATGCATAGTTGGGGATGGGGACTTCTGGTCGTTTCATTGGCTTTGCAAATAGCCTTGTGTGTTGGGATTGGAGTTTTGAGATCATATTTAAGGTCCTGGCCTGGTGTCAGCTCTGATAACCCCCTCCAGGAGTTCATGGTTTATGACCTCCGTAAAATGTGTTCTTTTAGGTAACAGGTCTTGCAAGACCAGATTGTGGAGAAAGGAGCAGTGACTTAATTATATGTTATCAATAATGTATATTAGATTATTGGCACAGATTCAGTTTGCTAGCCTTTTACCCTCTCTTCCCCAACACACACACACACACACACACACACACACACACACACACGCATCAGAGTTACATTGGAATAAGCCTTTTAGCCTTCTCATTTTGACTTCCATTTTTGTGATTTCAGCATGCTTTACTGAATTCTTTATAATGAACAGATGCCAATTTTTATTTCAGTGTTATTTTTTTCTTAAAAAGCAATATAGCAAGAAAACATAACAGTGACCTATTTATTCAACAAATATGTATTGAAGAATTCAATGCCAGCTTGCCATGTTTACTGGTAACTAGGTTTTTGGTTACTACACCTTGTAAATCTTTTCTCCTAGGTTTTCCTGCAATTATAGTATGCTGCCACTAAGTGGCAGTAGACACGGCCATATTTGGGGAGGTGCTCTGTTTTGTTTTCACCCAGGTCTCAGATGAGACTTTGGATTCCAGGAGTGTAAGTTCTCATTGACAACTTTTGTTTTGTTTTGTTAATGATGACTATAATGTATATGTTTTAAATACCACAAAATATTACTTAAAATAGTCCATATTTATTTAGTTTTAATCTCTCCTTTCCTTTGGCACTCTCTATTCTTACTCTATTCTCTGGCTTTGTCTGGGATAGTTTTCCTTCTGCCTGATGAACTTTGAATGTTCCCTGTGAGTGTGGGTGAGCTGGTGAGAAATCCTGATACCTCTTCGTGTTCCCTTCTGAAGGGTCTTCTTGCCTAGTGCTTGTTGCTCTACTGAACACAAGGGTGTCTTTTCTGCTGGCTACTTTTACATTTCCTCTTGAACTTCATTTTTCACCATTTTGGCAGGGAGCGCTCAGGACTTCTCAGAACTCCTGGATCTGTGGATTGGTGCCTTTTGGAAATCCTCAGCCATTATTTCTTCAAGTATCACTTCTGCTTTATCCTCTCTTTTCCTCCTAAGACCGGGATCTCACACGTGTTACACTTTTACAGACTCCCATTTCTTTAATGCTCTTACTCTGTATTTTCCATCCCATGTCCTTCCCATGCTTCATTGTGTGTTTTCCCGACAAAGCTAAATTCTAGGTCATGAATGCTCTTTTCTGCTCCTACAGGTGCCTCTTATTTCTGAGCAAGAACACCAGGTCATCAGGAAGGACATGGTAACTATGCAGACCGGGAAGTCCATGTCCAACAGACAACTTCAGTGGGAACAAATGGTCATTGACGTCCTTCGCCCTGGGAGGGCAACACTACCTAAGACAGCATTTGGGGAAACCTAGCCTAAATGTACAAGATTACACCAGATGCCATCTTTGTGTTGAACTCAGGATCCATTTTAGTGGTGTTAAGACAAGTGGCTTTGGCATGATTTATGATCCCTTGTGTTATTCAAAGAAGAATGAACCCAAACATGGACTTGGAAGACTTGACCTATATGAGAAGATTTCAAAAACAAAACAAGCCAGAACCAGTTTGGCTCAGTGGATAGAGCATTGGCCTGTGGACTCAAGGATCCCAGGTCAATTCCAGTCAAGGGCATGTATCTTGGTTGCAGGCACATTCCCAGTGGGGGGTGTGCAGGAGGCAGCTGACCGATGTTTCTCTGTATCACTCTCCTTTCCTCTTTGTAAAAAGTCAATAAAATATGTTTAAAAAACAACAACAAAACAAAACAGAATGGAACACAGAACACAGAAAGGCAGGGGGACCGAAAGGCCAACGTTGGTGCTGACAAAAATGAGCTGGGGATTGACCAACAGGAGTTGAGATTCTCTAGGGACTTTGTCTGTGGTGACTGTGCAGGTATTTCACGAGGGGATTAACAAACTGAGAACTCTAAGGAACGAAAAGAAAGACCATGTTTTCTCAGTTTGCCTCTTTTTTATTTCCCTGTTTTACAATCTAAAGTGGATACTTAAAAACAAAAAGATATTCAGTCCCCTACCCCTTCCAACTCACAGCCTCACCGCCTCAGTTTTGGCGTTGGAAGGTTGTCACCCGCATATTGTCTCCTGAATCATGGAAAGAAAAACGAACTCAAACATATACTTGCAAGACATGGCGGGGATGAGAAGAAGGCTAGTTTTCCCCCTGTTCTGTCTTAGGTGGTGCTGCCTTCCCAGGGTGAAGGCCGGCCCTCTCCCCCTTGGCGGCTGCGGGATAATACCGGAACTCTGCCTTCAGCTTCCATGCGTTTTTGTGGGGCCCTTGCACAACCCGGACAGCTATTTCACGCAAGATCTCCTTCAGGTACAGCACCGGTTGCAGAGTGATGCCAACTAGGTCCTTCAAGCAGTAATACTGGTGTTTCTCAAAGGCAGCGAAGAGCAAGGCCAGCACCTGGTCTTTGTCAGCCCGCACTTTCTTCCCGTCCTCCTCCTTCTTCTTCTCATACTCAATGTTGCACTGATGATTGGCGACAGGTCTGTAATTGGTCGTGACGGGCGTGTCCAGGATCTGCGCGGTGTGGGCCAGGCTGAGAGACCGCTCCGTCTGCATCCTCTTCAGCCTCAGGTAGCGTTCCCAGCCGCAGGTCTGCATTCCAGGCGCTGCACCACGGCCCCTTCCAGGGACAGCCTGGCTTGCGCGTCCTCCTCCGTCATCACCGCCAGGGCCTGCCCTCTCACCCGCTGTGGGAGCACCTGATGCTCCCTGGGAGCTCGGAGCAGCTCAGGTCCTCCCGCAGGGTCCTGAATGCGGGTGAGTTCCTCGTTCAAAGTGAAGACCGACTCTGGCTGTGCTGGTTCTGGACCACCTGCAGCTTCCCCACCTCCCCGCTCCCGGAAGCGCCAGCCCACTGCTGCGACAGGTATTTGGGCACCTTCACGAGCCACAGGGGCTGCTCCTGCCGGATTCCGCTCAAGTCCAGGCTCCTGCTCCGGGGGTGGGTCTCGGGTCTGCAGCCTCCAGAGGCCATGTGGCCCGGAGCGGAGGGTGCAGAGCGTGGGTGACACGGCTGAAGGCGGAGGCAGGACGCCAAAACCAGCCGCTGGGACCCAGGGACCTAGCAAGAAAGTGGAAAGCACATGCTGACTTCAGAAATCGCCAAAGACAGAGGCTTCTCTTCCCGGACAAAACCAGTGCTCTGGGCCGCAGACTTCTCCCTTGTGCCCTCGCTGACACTTGAGGAGGCCTTCCCGACCGCCGGCTTCTCCCCCCACACCCCACTCCTCCCCGGCTCCCCTGCTTTAGTTTCCTCCAGAGCGCCGGTCCACATACATGACTTAGACTTGCTGCTTCCTATTTTCACTCCTTTATTTATTATCCTGTGTCTCCTCCACTAGACTGTAAGCGCCATGAAGGTCTAGTTGGTGGCTGTAGGTGTTGGATAATTTTACTTATTTATTTTTTTAAGGAACCAGAGGTCTTCCTTGGCTTATTCACTGTGACTTAACTGAGTGTGTGTGTGTGTGTGTGTGTGTGTGTGTGTGTGTGTGTGTGGCAGGGGAGGGGGGGATGTTACCTTGGGAGAGGGGCTGGGGAACCTCTCTCTCTCTCTCCCCTCTCCCCCTGGTTCTCAGGAACCCGGCTTTCTGCCACAGCTGCAGTGGAAACCCCTCAGCATGAAATACGGGGTGCACCTACCAGGTTGAGGCCCTGCCTTTCCTGCCGCCTCTGCCCAAACAGAAGAGAGTGGCTGAGACCCAGGTGCTTTGCGGAGGTGTGAAGCCCCGAGGTTAGTGGGTGCCAGCTCCATATTTGGGATTGCAGGCAGAACCAGCCTGCTCCCAGCACCCAAAGCTCCGGGGGGGAGCAGCAGCTCCCTTCCCTGCCTCCTCCCATCCCCAACTTGGGCTCCTCTTCAAAAAATATTCAGATTCATTCAAACCAGAAGGCAGTTTTTTATTTATTTTTTTTTAATCCCCTCTCTGGGCACCTTCTCATGCCTAAAACAAGGAGCAAACCGGTGTAGAGTGAGCAAAGTGTCCTTCTCCCACCTCTCTGATTGCTCCCTTCCTCTTAGGAGCTCCTGGGATTCCTCCTGCCTCGAGGGCTGTTTCCTTCCAGTCTCCTCTGCAGGCGCCTCAGTCTATCTTGGGCCACAAATGCTATGCCTCGGTCTTAGGTGCTGTCCCTTCTCACTTGACACACCTTTTGAAGCGTATATTCCTGCAGATGTTTCTCAGATCAACGTCCACAGTTCAGAGCTTTCCCCTGAACTTGTGGCAGACAACTCAAACGCCAACTGATGTCCTACAATGAACTGGATTCTTAATAGGTCAAAACTGGGACCCGTTACTTTCTCACTCTTTCCCCAAAACAAACATGTTCTTCTAATAATCTCCCATCTACACTGTTTCCTAAGCCACACACTTGAGTGTTAAGCTCATCTCTCCCGATATCTCCCTCCCAACAAGTTAGCAAGTTCTGCCGTTCTGCCTTCTTAATTTATCTCAAATTGTCCACCTTGCCCCACGCCCTGGCCCAGTTGAGGCTACTCTACAACTTTCCTCTCATGATTCAGAGCAATAGCTTCTGAACTGAACTCTCTGTTTCTCCCTCCAATATCTCCCACACACTAAGTTGGAATAGTATTTCTACAACACAAACTAGCCCTAGCTGGTTTGACTCAATGGCTATAGCACTGGCCTATAGGCTGAAGGGTCCCAGGTTCGGTTTCAGTCAAGGGCACATGCCCGGGTTGTGGGCTCAATCTCCGATTGGGGGCATGCAGGAGGCAGCTGATCGATGATTCTCTTGTCATTTATGTTTCTCTCTTTCCCTTTCTCTTTCTTCTCTGAAATCAATAAAAATCTATTTACAAAAATAAAAATAAAGCACAAATTACACATGTCTTTCTCCTTAAAAACATCAGAGCCTCTCTGCCTTTCAGAAGTAGCGCCATGAAGCATTGGTGGACTCCTAAGCCAGCAGTGCCTTTTGAGAAAACTCTTTGGCTCAACCAACAAGCGCCTGTGCTCACAGGTGTTGCCCCTGAACAACCAGAAGAGACAGCCCAGCATAGTGAGGGCTGAAGCGCATGCTCTGGAGCTGGGTTGCCTGCTGTGCCACTTACTGGTTGTGTGTCCTTTGGGGGTTGGGGACATTTAACACCTCGTGGCTTCTCCTCTTCATTGATAAAATGGGAGTAGGAAGAGTACCCACTGTACAAGGTTTCTATAATATGAGCATTAAATGAATTAGCAAAGTGCCTGATGTGCAATAAGGGCTCAGTAAGTATAACCTAGTTAATCCACTGGAATGCCTGTTCCACAATCATACAGGGTTTCATCTGTTTTGTTTTTTGCCTATCACCTAGGCATAGAGCAAAAAGGTGCTTAAAAATATTTCTTGAATACACAGGCAAAATTCATATAAGACCATTTTAATTTCAGCGTACCCGTAATAAAAAATCTGGAAAAATGTCCAATAATATGAATATGAATAAGATCATTAACAGCAAAATAAACAAAAAAGGAATGTTGGGAAATTCTCAAACCAAGGATTAAGAAAAAAATCCTAAAAGCATTCACAAAGAAAATGGATTTCATGTCAACTATTCGTCAGCTTCCATTTTCTGAGAGAAAACAATGTGGAATCTAAAAGTCTTGACTCAACCAAACTCTCATTCTAGAATGGAGGCAGAAATATACATTCTTTACCACAGACACCCCCTTAACAAATTTCTTAGGGATGTAGAAAAAATATTATTTTAAGAGGAAGAAGCTGAATTCCCAAAGCAATAATAAACCAAGACATGAGCAACATGTATTGGTAAGTTCAAATTTCTATTGATTAAAAGATATTTTAAAACATCTAGAAGAAGAATATGGAACTAAGATCCCGGGTGATCTCCTCCAGTTCTTTTTTTTCCTTTCTTGGTGACCTTGGAAGCTGTGTGCTTCTCAGGACGTAGCTACAGGAGGTCCCTACATCCATCACTGCTTAAAAAACAACCTCTGGGAGACGGACCAGATCCTCATCCAAATGGGACATGAATGTACATAAACCTCTATTATCCAAAGCCCTGAGACTTCAGGGTTCCCTATAGCAGCATGACCTGCCCATTCTGACAAATATGCTCTCTATCTACAGGTGCTGCTGTTGGAGACTTCAGGTGCTGGAGGTGGATGGCAGATATACATGGGACCAGGATAGGGCTGGGAAGGTGGTATGTTAGTAATGAGATTCTCATAGACTCAGAAGATACTCTAGGCCAGTGGTCAGCAAACTCATTAGTCAACAGAGCCAAATATCAACAGTGCCACAATTGAAATTTCTTTTGAGAGCCAAGTTTTTTAAATTTAAACTTCTTCTAATGCCACTTCTTCAAAATAGACTTGCCCAGGCCGTGGTATTTTGTGGAAGAGCCACACTCAAGGGGCCCAAGAGCCGCATGTGGTTCTTGAGCCGCAGTTTGCTGATCACTGCTCTAGGTTAAAGGGTTGGTTGTGGCTTCTGTGATTACATCCTTATATTCCCACCCCATTTCCCAATGTAGTGATTTAATGGAAAGAGCACTGAGCTAGGTGCCAGGAATTCTAGTCCTGGTATTATTACTCCAAGGCTGAGTGGCCTTGGGCAAATGTCTACCCCTATCTGGGCATAGTTTCTTTTTTCTTAAAATGGAGATAATATCTCTGTCCTCTGAACTTCTAATGAGACTGGGAGAAAGCTGAGGGTGTGTCTAATGCCACTCCTTGAGGGAAGCTCTAACCTCTCCTTGACCGCATTCCTGCTCCAGGATCTTCTTCCCTATGTCCCATGCCCTAGGCCTGGATTTGAACTCAGTTATTGCGTGGTGAGCAAGTCAGTATTGGTGTTTCCTTCTTCATGTTCAGTCCCTTTCCTGAGTATATGCAGTGGGCTTTGCCATGGGGAGGAAACAGGGGCTTATTGCAGCTTCTGGCAATGGCGAGGCTGGGCTAGAGGTGCTTTTCAAGGCTCCTTTTAGGATGGTAGAGAGTGGCCACTTCCATTGCCTCTATCTTGGTGATCCCTGGTGGTCAAAGGGTCCCCCTTCACTCCAAGAAAAGTCTGCATTTTAATCCATTGCCTGTCGGCCTGATGTTTTTCATGAGCACTGGGTTGGATTCTGTCCAGACTGTGCCCCTAATGAACTGTTGGATGACCTTGGACAACCTGTGGGTCTTTGCTCCTTAATTTATAAGATGGAAAAACCTGTCTTTGAAGAGCTTGAAGGTACTTTCCAAGTCAAAATGCTGTAGAATCTTAGACTCTCTTTTACTGGAATCTGAGTCATAATGGAATCAAGCAAAGAAAGAATGCAGAACACTGACCCCAACACTCAGACCCTCATTTCTCAACTGAGGCCTATGCAGAAATTCAACCTCCTCTTCACCATACGTCCAGGTGCACCACCCCATCTGTATCTTAGGAATAATCCAGAACAATCCTGCTTGACCACTGAGGCTTTCCAGCTCAGAGAATCAATCTCCCATGGGAAGACAGAAGTTTTCTAATGTTCCTATTGAGCCCATGCCCTCTTACTTGGCCTTTGGCCTGGAATTTACAAGGTACCAGGGCTTGGAAGACAATTCTAGTGCAGATCCCACACAATCATAGGCATCTCATTTACAGATGATATTTTAAAAATAGACACTACTATATAAATGCATACATTTAATCAATGTATACGCTCATGTAACCACTACCACAATCCAGATTTGGCATATTTCCACCCTCCTCCCAAATTCCCATGTGATCTTTTACAATGAATACTCACCCCCAATTCTTGAACAATACCGATTGACATTTTTGTCCCTATAGATTGGTCTTGTATTCTAGAATTTCATATAACAGTATTTATCCTTTTTGAAAATAATATATAATTTCATATAACATTATTTAGCCTTTGAGTCTGTTTTTTTTTTTTTTCTTTCCATTCAGCATTCTGATTTTGCAGTCCATCTATGCTTTTGCATATATTAGTAGTGCATTCTATTTAGTGCCGAG